TTCGAGAAGCAGACATTTGACCTGACCGTCCAGGAAGGCACACTTCCGCCTTCTCAATTTCCATTCCAGAAACCGTCGAGTCTTGAGCGACGTATTTCTGTCCGGATTCGTTTTCGTTCAACTGTTTTTGTCCGTCCCCATCTTTTGATTAGGTTCTAGTTTTTCTACGCGCATAACTTTCTGTATATTTGTTTTGACAGTGCCCGAGTTGTGCACATCTTTGAGTTATATTGTTGCCGAAGATTTTTGTCCGGGTATCCTTTATCGATTACGGCGGGAGTTTTTCGTAAGGACTACCATATATTCATGCTGTGAATTGTAAATTTACAGTGAGTAGATAAATGTTCTGGAACTGTGATTATCTAATATTACTGTGCGAATTTGGTGAACTTTTATTTGTAGGAAATTTTGTGAAATTCCTGTCTACTGCGCGTTGTGCTGCCCGATTTTTGTCTGATTTTCTGTTTTGCCCGGAATTCTCTTCTGAAATTGAAGATGCTAATCTGTATATGCTATAAAAATGGGAGCTATAAGGGGCCTGGGATCCTAAGAGATTGCAAGTTCAGTGTCCTGGCGGTGAAATTACTCTGAAATGAGGCTCGAAATCTGAATTCTGAAATCAGTTCTGCTTTCCGGATTGTCCGAATGAAAATATCTGATGTTTGAATGCTGATACCCCAGCATGTGCGCCCCGGCCGGCCACCGACCATAATTAAAGCATATCTGTTCTGCGTAGCTCGTGAGCAACATAAGCATTATCTGTTTCTGGTTGCCGTGAGCACAAAAGGGAGTTATAAGGGGCCTGAATCCAAAGAGATGGTGCAGTCAGTGTCAGGGAATTCTAGCTATGAAATTAAAATATTTGATATCTGATATCTCGATTTGATTCTGATATTCTGATTTCAGTATCTGTTCTGTAACCAATTATGATCTGTTTATGTCTGATCGTTCTGTTCTTGATTTTCTGTTGTCCGTACAATTATGTTGGATTTTGGATATAGCTAATTACCGTTCAGTTTACTTAACTGATTCGATACAGATCTAATATGTTCTGTTCTGAAGTCCTTGTATTCTGATAAGTGAATTAAGCTGTACGACTCTGATTCTGATTTGATATAACTGTCCGTATAAAGTTCTATGAATTCGATTCTGTAACTGACTTGAGATACGCATTTCTGATTGGATTTTGGCTGATGTGGTTTGGTTTTTTGGATATCTGAGAAGGTTATTTGATTGGAGTTTGGTTGCTGTTGCTGAGCTGTTGATGCCTCAACTCTTGTTTCTGGTGGTTTCGAGGTTCTGGAAAAAGGAAGGAAGTCAGGAATATGCGAATTCAGAGCTCTGTCAGTATAGGTATTCTATTTGTAACCTTTTTGAATTTTTCTTGATACAGTCCATAGGCTTTCTGTTCTGTCATTCTTTCTGTCAAAAGCCATGTACTGTATTTGTAGATGATTGGTCTTTGAGGAAAAGAAAAAAAATACTAGATAGTTTTGTCCCGCTGCATTTGGTGACTATATAGTAGCTCTGTTGTCTCTACTAGTTTGTGTGTTGTTTTGAGTTAAATATTTGGAAGATGTCAGTTCAGAACGCAAACTCCAAGCCAGATCCTGGATATCAAGGTTCCGTGTCGCGGCCCGGTGCGAGCGGGGTCCCGTCCCGGATCGGTCGGGTCAATGACAACTGCTCGACTAGTTGATAGCCTTCAGAGCTAAACCTTTGAGTATAGGGGGATTCTTCTCACCGCTGATTTCGTACAAGGGCTTCTCCTTGGCTTCGAGTTTTGGATGCCTCATAGAAGGGCTGGAGGAAAGAGCGAGCTGCAATGGCGGAATGGCAGCGTCAGTTGCTTCCCCTGTTATAATAGGCGATGATTTGGCGTGGGATTGCTCGGCAAGCTCGAGGGTTGCATTTTGCTGGAGCGACTGAAATGCAGGCGAATCTGCAGGAGGAAGTAGGGTCGATTGTCCATGCGTGTTGGTGGAGCAGAGGAGTTACGGAGAGGATTTGGGTTCGCAGGAGCCGAGTGGAAGCGGACAATGGTCATGCGGAGTGGCAACGGTGGTTGTTTCGGCGGGTAGGGAATCGCGGGATTGAACTGGTATATGGAGCGAATGTGGAGGCGTGGGTTCTGAAGGCGGATCTGATCGGGACATGGTGAAGTGATTTCCTTCCATGAAATCGAAATCAGCGACCGAAGGATCGCGTTGGAGCTGGGTTGGTTGTGCGTGTGTGTTGGAGGAACAAAGTAGCGACGAGGCCGGTATGGTTGCTGACCTGCTCATGGTTCTCTCCATCGAATGCATGAATTTAACACATAAATCATCCATTCGG